GCTCCATTATGGGAACTGTGATGAGCTATAGCAAGAACAAAGAGCATAAAAATTGTGTCCCCCAAGAGCACCTCTGTAGCATCTATGTGTCTGAAACCTGAAACCTGCCTCTCAGGCCAATGCTCCAGAACAAATAAATAGGTCTTTTTCCCAGGAAGACTGGGGACTTTTTTCAGTCTGCTGCCTATGAAGTGCCCTGGGAATGGTAGCCTTCCAAGAACTGTCTATTTATTTCAGTCCTGTGGGCCCAGAAAGGCAAGCCACCAGAGCCAGGAGCTCAAGAGGCATCCCCTGTATGGACTGCATGCACCTGCTGGCTTTAGCAAGACCATGGGAGAACATGAGGGTGGTGTGTGCCCACTCACTTTATCAAGGCCATGGGAGAGCGCAAGAGTGGAGTATGTCTGCCAGCTTTAGAGGAGTCATGAGAGAGTATGGGGGCAGGTTGCATCCAATGAATTTACAAGACTGTAGAGAGCAAGGGTGTGGAGTGTGCCTGCCAGCTTGATCATGGCAGCAAGAGACTGTTGTGACTGAATGTGCCTACTGGCACTAATAAGGTACTGTGAGAGTGTAAAAATGTCACTCACCAGTGTCTGTGCTAGAAATTTAGAAGGAGTAAAAAAATGGTGTTCACCAGTGCTTCTGTCCCTGGAGAGAGTCCAAAGTGGCCCCTGATCCTCTAGCAAATGCTTTAAGATAAACAAATGAATCTCCTTCACATATGGTCTAGGTACTATTCAAACTACTGCTTTCGTGCTGGGTCCTTGGATGACAGAGTCTATGCATGGACCTTTAAGAGTGGATTCTCAGTTCCCTATGGCCCTTAGGGTCTCCTGGACATAAGCCCCACTGGTTTTTCAAAATGTGATGTTTTGGGAGCTCATCACTTTAGTGCAGGTCCAAAGGTTTGGGGGCCACTGTAGGGCACAAAGCCCTTGCTCCTCAGGGAGAGGATTTGGAGATGTGAGATATATCCCAATTATGGGTTGCTGTGCTGAGGATGGGGGTTTTGGCAAGACCACATCTCTGCCTCACCTACTCATCTCAATGTAGCCCTTTCATCCTTTGTTGTGGAGGTGCTATTTAGCTAATTTTCAGGTCTTTTTAACAGGAAATTGTTTTATATGTAAATTTTTTTCTGTGTGAGGAGTTGAGCTCAGGGTCTTCCTATGCCACCATCTTGAGTTGCCTCTCCCATCTCTTTCTTTCATTCTTCTTTCTTTTTGAGGAAGATTAGCCCTGAGCTAACATCTGCTGCCAATCCTCCTCTTTTTGCTGAGGAAGACTGGCCACGAGCTAACATCTGTCCCATCTTCCTCTACTTTTTATATGTGGGACACCTACCACAGCATGGCTTGCCAAGCAGTGCCATGTCCTCATCCAGCATCCAAACCAGCGAAGCAAGGGCCGCCAAAGTGGAATGTGTGAACTTAACCACTGCACCACTGTGCCAGCCCTGAAGATCCTGTTATTTTAAGTGATTCATAGTTGACCCAATATTTCAAATTGCCTTCATTCACTTTTTATCAGTGTCTTTGAAATGATCCAAGTGATTTTTGATAACTTTTATATACAGTGTCCATCAACCTAATTTCAAGATAAAATTGAATGCTAGTCAATTTTATTGACTAAATAGCATAATCTCACCTCATTTCTCAGAAAATGGCTCAGTTGACATCTAAAAATTGTGTAAATCATTGTGTTGATAATTGTAAACATATTCCATTTTCTCATGCTTTACTGAAATCATATTAAATTCCTGATGTTCTTCTTTCCTGGGAATTTGACAGTGTTGATAGACTTAGTAATATTTCACAGTTATCTCCAATCATGTATTTCCTTACCCTGAATCCTTTTTCTGTGATGAAAATCCCACTGGAGATGATTCAAAATGATTCAATGATCAAGAAAAATTAAATTCGCATGTTTACACACCCTCTAGTTTAAATTATTTTGTTTAGTGTTTATTTCCTGCCATTTCCAAGCAAATACATGCAGAAAATATCCCTTATTTAAAGGTATTACTATGTATTTATCTTAAACATTCCACTTGTGACCCAGTGACGCAGACCAAGATTGTACTTAGTTAGTTTCCTAGTCTTTGTGAACAAACCATTAATCACGAGGAAAACAAGTAACTAGAAAAAATGATATTTCTGCACACATGATTTCAAATTTATGATTATGGAACATCTCAATGTGTAAATTCTAGACATTCATCACAGACTGAGGTGTGAGTGAATCTTCTGCTACTAATATCTTGCAGATAATTCTATTTTGTTACATGAACAAAGCATCTTTCTAACTTGACTGTAGCTACAAAAGGCTACAAAATAATTACTTTAACGGCATTACCACAATTTCAGTGAAGAAATAAATTCAGCATTATTTCTAATTTTTATTTGTTTTCTGCTTTTTACATTTTTTATAAATGAGTAATTTCCAACAAATAATAACACAGTGATAGCATCTTGACTGTGAAAGGCTAATCATAAATGTGGATAGTTGTTATCTAGAGATTCCCATAAAACAATCATTTTATGAACTGTAATGCCAAATTACTGTCAAATCAAATATACATTGTTTTATTTTATATATACTTGTGAAAGAAACCTATTATGCACTCTTTCTGTTAACAGTTTGCATTTTGCTTAGTTTTTATCTTTCTAAGTTCAATCATTTTCTTTTGAAATCCTCAGCTGCACTTCATAAAGTCTCTTTTTTATATCTTCTTACATTAATACCAAAATACTACCATCTGCATTCATAGTTAATCATTTCAATATACCAGGGAAAGTATCTTGGTATTCAGTAGATAAATCAGCAAGAAACTTTTTACAGTTTTCTTATCTTAAATTTTCTCACACCATGTGAAGAAGGCAGGATAAGGAGTGTCTTTATTTTAAGTTTATAAAGGCTGCTTTGCTTATGTAAGAGCATATTCCTAGAAATATGTAAATATTTAAATTCAATCTAGCACTGTTGAAGACACAAATGAAATGGAAAGAGAGAGGAAAGAAGTTAGAGTGAAAGGAAGAAAAAGAAGGAAGGAAGGAGTGGGAGAGAGGGAAGAGAAAAGTAAAAACAAAGAAAATAGTACTGAAAAAAACTAGCCAGAAGTTTGGAATGGGTAAAGAAGGCAGCTGGGAAGAATATCAATATTTATTAGTATTAGCTTTGTTCTATCCATTTTCCTAAAAAAACTTCATATATAAATGTGTTTTTTTTTTTATTTCCAAGTGAGGATCATAATCCCATTTTGTGGATAAGTAAAGCAAGCCTCCAGAACATTAACTTGCCTAAAATCATCAGCCTATAACTGGCAGAGTGAGATTACAAACATAAATCTCTCTAACCAAAAACCCAATATTCTGTTAATGATTTTCTCTTTACACTTATAGTAGCTAACACTTTATGCTTATAATGCAAACATCCTGAACAATAAAGAACATGTATTCTAACCCTACATATTCCTAGTGGCATAGAAAGATGATGATGATGAAAGTGATGGGAACATTAAAATATTCACCACCTCTACAAAGACATTGCTCATTAGAGCAAATAATATGAAATGGAATGGGTTTGATCTCAAGAAGTAAGAAGTATTAGAAAGAAAAGATAATTCAAATCTATTGGTCATACAATTATTTGCAAAGAGTAATCATCCACTCTTGATAGCATCATAATGGCCATTCAGAGGAAGAAGTTCAATTATAGAATTTGCAAAATGTGGGGAAACCTAATGCGCAGTTTTTTTCAAAGCAATTTAATTTTCCCAGTTACAGTTGGAACTGATCAATTTGCCTGTTTTATCACAAGAAAAAATTGAATTTTAATAACATTGATGGATGAAGTTGTATCCAATTTAAAAAGTATATATTGCTATATAACACATTTCATGTGTAAAAGAACTTTGAGAGAGATTATAATCTCAGCTTTGAAAATGATGAAAGTGAGACAAAGTGAGTTAAGTATTTTATCCCAAGATATTCAGCTAATAAATGCAGGACATAAAACCTAGGTACTGAATGTGAACTCCAATTCCTATTCACTCTGCACAAAAATTCAATTATCCATATGTTTAACCATGTCTGATTTCTATGAGTGAATAAATAGAAATATTACAAAAATTCACTTTTACAGATTTTGTACTACAGAAAGAAATCAGCAGTTAATAATAATCAAGGAATAAAATGCAATAAGGCAGTAAATATTTTAAGGGCCATCATAATAAGAGACCATATTGCTATGAATATAAAGAAGGATGACTTTACAGGGACTTGAGTGGCCAGCATGGCATAAGAAAGTGGTTGAACTAGAACTTGTGCTTACAGCTTTAGAAGGATTTGCATAAATTTTTTTTTTGGCAAATAATAAAGCAGGAAAAACTCAGGGATCCAAGTGGGAAAATGTGAGCAAAGATATATTTATGAAAATATTCAGACATTTGTCCTACAACACGAAACTTGTAACATGAATTATTTACTTAAAAGTACTGTTTGCATCATGTGCACTATTTATTTTAATTCCAATTAAGCAGAAATTGCAATACTCACTAAGGAAGAAGCTGTTGGATATGAATAAAGGGACATCTCACTGTTATATTTTGAGTAGATACTTAGCTGTTTTGCATAATATTAATAAACGGCTATTTTTATTTTTCTGTTTATAATAATGATGATGATATCTAATAATCTATTCTACTGTCCAATAGTGTTTTTATTTGCTTTTGTCTGTTTTGATCACCCAGTGTATTTTAACTGTTTTAATGCAAATACGCTTAAATTATGAAACACATATTGTTGAAACTTTGACATGAAAATATACTTGTAATTCAGTATCCACTAACAACTATCATCGTTCCCACTATATAAACATGATAACATAGTTTTGTAATGTGAGTTTTATGATATACAAATAACTGAAAACCTGATTATTGCTTTAAGCCACAAAGTAATGTAAACATTATGTAAGAGACAATAATCTGACTAACTAAATGATGCCTTGCCCTAATAATAAGGGATTTAATGCTTTGATAGGATGTTTTTTGTTTTACTATACTTTTCAAGAGAAAGATTGAGACTATTACTTGAAGGAATATTCTTGTGAGACTGAAGAATTTGGAACTTATTAGAGGATGAGGTGTTGTTGCATATTTGAACAAAGCCTTTCCTGTGTTGAAATGATGATGACATTGCTATGTGAGACTGTATCAGGCAGAAGATTTCTAAAGTGAACATTTGCTACTGGGATCTAGTGAGTACTTTCTTCATCACCAAGATTAAATAACTACGTGAATATTCTCCATATCCATTTTTGTCCTTGAAAGTTGGGTGAATGGTCCAAAGAATGAATGATAATATTTGAGTGGAAACTATGTGTGAAATGCTCATTATATCTAGAAAACTCTAGCTATCTGAAGTGAGGAAAAATATACCAAATCAATTTAGGAGAATTAGATTCTACCAACCAACGTAGAATCCGTATGTATTTATGTCTGTAGTGTTTGATATTTCCATGCACAGTGCTTTTCATTTCTAACAGACATGCTTACAGAACTTTGCTTTGTTCTAGAGATCAGAGTTCTGAAGCCAAGGTGTACTTACAGAGGTGGGACAAAGGAAGTCAATCTGATTAATTGTATTCTCCTGGAGAGCCATCACTAAAAGTGCAGGTAAACCACTAATAAAAAAACCTTTTAATTCAAGATATTTTAGACTGAAAAAGCCTGGGACCAAATATATTTAAAAGATGAAAGTATCCATCTAACTTAATGTTTCACATCATGTAGCACCAAATCAAACAAGACAAATGCCATTAGACCAATTTAGGTCTACTGAATTTACCAGTTTTTTCCAGATTCCTTAGGTAATATTAACAATGTTTTTGCTGGGTTAATTTCTACGTAGCCCATTATTGATTGTGAAATACTTTCCACATTATCTGCTTTACCTTTTATCTCTATGGAGATTCAAAGGTTGACATATTTGGAGAACCACACAATCACTGAATTTATTCTGCTGGCTCTGCTGCACTGCACTTCAACTCACTTCTGTCTCTTGCACTTGTCACCATGATATCCCCACACTAACTGGAAAGAGCATACTAATTCTGCTGATCTGGATACGGCCGCATCTTCACATTCCTGTGTGTTTTTTCTTTGGCAGTTCTCTTATTGATGTCTTCACATTTTCTCTTGCCCCCAAGATGATAACTGACTAGCTTCTGCATAAGACAGTCATCTCTCTTTTGGACTGAGGCACCCAGATCTTCTTGCTGTTGGCCCTGGGTGGAACTGAATGCATTCTCTTGGGCCTCATGTCCTATACCCAACAGTTTGCCCTCTACAAGCCTCTATACTATCTATTCCTCATGAACTGGCCCCTCTGTAGGCATATGGCTGTTAGCTTATGAACCAGTGGTGTTTTCAGTGTCTTGCTATATCCTCTTTTCACCATGAGACTCCCCCTCTATGGATCCAGGAAAAAAACATTTCTACTGTAAACTTCCAGGTCTTGCATGTCTCCTGTGAGGCTATCTTGATCTGCCAGGTTTTGATCAGCACTACTATTCCTCTTATTCCATTCAGTCATCCTTGCCTCCTCCACACTCAGCCTGGTCACCATCATCCAAATGGCCTCCACTGATGGCCAGAGGAAAGCATTCTCCACCTGTTCATCTCACCTGACCGTGGTCAGCCTATAGTATAGTACCATTATTTTTATGTATATTTGGCCAGTCTCTTCCCATACTTCAGACAAAGATAAGGTAGTATCTGTCTTCTTCACCATTCTGACACCCATATTCAACCCTGTGAGGCATAGTCTAAATAAAAATTCTAAATAAGGATGTGATGGGAACCCTGGGAAGAATTTTATGGAAGTTTTCATTATATTCTAAAATGTAAATATAAAGGCTCAGTGGACATTGTCTGTTATTGGGTATAAATGTTTACATTGTGTGATGCACTTTAGACTTTCTGACAACAATCATCTATCAGTCTATTGGATATAGAGTTGCATTCTATCTATTAGTATAAACAATATATTCTCAGATAGATCTAAATACAGAGCCATACTATAAGATGAACATGCTTGCTAATTGCATTGACAATGCAATTCAAATTAATAAGTTCCTAAGCTAGAACACCAACTGAGGAAGAGGACTGGAAGCCAAAATAATTCACCAGGCAATGATCAGAAACATGAACTCTGGATTCTTGTGCAAAGAGACAGAAAACAGGGCAGAATGGTTAGAAGGCTTGCCCTGCCATCTTAGGCCTCATGTTGGTATCATCTAGAGGTATATTATGCCTCTAAAACTCAACTTTTGAGGTATTACAGGAGAAATCAGGTGCCTCCTGCTTTTCCTCCTCTGCTGTCTTAGAAATCATCCTTTTAGAACCTGCTAACAAGAAGAGAATCCCTGAGACTTGATGCCTCCTTCAGTGTATCAGAGCCCTGAGTAGCTCTCTCATTACTGGTATTGGATTGTTGCTAAATGAATAATGTGAATTGAAAAATGACCACCAGTTGGCCTTGTAACTGTTTGATTGAAAATTCTGCATAAACCAACATCTGTCATGTTTCTGTCTTAGTTTAATACCATTTTAGCATCTAAAGGCAGATGAAGGGATACTGAAAAGCCATGGTATTTAAGGCAAGCAAGAAATAAAGAATTCCACATTCCTTCTCCAAGCTACATGTTAGGAATGCAAGATCTGAAATAAATATTAATTACTCTCAAGGATATTTGGACTGGAGGGCAGCCAGCAACTCAAGTGGAAAGACTTGAAAGCCATGCCTCTAACCCTGCATTCTTTATCTGAGACTTTCAAGTTCATGACACAAAGCCTTTACCATCGCAGGTCAAACAGGACCTAGGACAGAAATTTCAATATTCTTAAGTCCCTGCTGTCCGTGATTATTGCCTCTACTGGAAGTTCTAATAGATTTAGTGACTATGAAGAAGCAAGTTCAAAGAGTATTAGGTCAGTAGTGTAAAACCTTCTGGGTGGATGATAGTGGTATCAGTTAGCAGAAGTTTGCAATCAATAAAAATAACTTAGTCTAAAAGTGGATATTTGTGACTTCTCTCACACTCTTCACTCTCTCTGTGAACCCAACTTTATATTTTTATTGACATTTACAGATGCATTTGACTCTCACCAGGAGACAAGTCATTCTACACCTAAACAAAGGAACAAAATTGAATAAAAGAAACACCTAGATTCAGTGCCACCCCTCCTTTTACTTACATACATCATTTTTTACTATTAGCAACTCTGTTCATTTAGTCTATTTGTTTTTATTATATGAAGAATATGTACCAAAGACAGTGCTTAAGAAATATCCATGTGATCTTCCATATTTGTGAACCTGTGGAATTTCACTCGTAGCCACATGATTATTTCTGTGCAAAAGATAATGAGCATGAGTAAAATGTGTCATTTCTAGCCATCCATCTCTGACTTCTCCAGCCATGGAGATATTGGCCATCACATGATCCAGAAGGGCATGGCGGTGAAAGAAGGTAACCCCACTCTCATCAGACTGCAGCATCAAAGACAGTCCAACTCTGCAATCTTAACACACTGAAGTTGCTTATTTCGATAGCCAACATTGATTGTCCTAATACAATGTAACATACCATCAGAATTTCTCCTAATAATTTATTAAATTATTATAGGAGTGATTCACCATAGTGCCAAGTTCTATGATACACTTAAAGAAAATGTTTGCAGTTGTTAATGTTTGCTTCCTCTTCTACTTGTAAAAATCTTATATGCAGCATCTTACATATATGTTTAGAAAATCGTGAAAAATTGATCAAATCAAGTTCTGTCTAGAATATATATATATAACTTCCTAAGTAATTTGAATTCTCTTTACAATTAAGTACTTAATATGTGTAATAATTATATAATTCTAATATAATAATTCCAATATATAATATAACATAGAATAAGTAAATAATTTTAATACTTAAAATTTAATGTGATTTGTACAGATTTTCCTGTGAAAATATAACGTGGAATTTGAAAATTATGAAAGAATGACTAAAATTACACATCTGTGAAGAGATGCAATATTTTTATATTTTGATTCTACTATCTGGAAATTACAGAGGCAGTCAAAGGCTTAGTGAGTGTTATGATTATCCAGGTTTTATCTTGCAATTTCTTCATTCTGATTTTACTTGTATTTCATTTCTTGTGTTTCACTACTCTCATATACTGAAATACTAGTTGACTTTTCTATAATTAAATTCACCTAAGCTTATGAGAACCTATTTTTTTATTTACTGAAGAAAAAATTAAAACAGTAAATTTGCCCTTAAGGGACTGGAGCATGAGTAGATTTACTATTGGTCAGTCCGAGGGTTATACTCTGCTGAATCAAGATTCTTCTGCCTTCTCTTTTTTCCCTTTCTTCCTGTGTTGATTCAGGCGTGGACTGTGTGAAGGATGTCATGATTATAACTGCATTTTCTCTTCTTGGAGAAAGGTTTTCTGGTCTAAGACCTTCCCCTGGTTCTCACCAGCTTCCTTAGGTGTATTTATCCTAACTGTGAACATGAGTCTGACTTTGATGCATCCCTGTTTTGTTCTCATGTAACTCATAGTTAGATCTCCAGGCACAGGCCACATACTGTGGGGAATATGGAGGAAGGTCTTGCCTTCCCCCTCCCATTTGCTGGCTTGGTTCCACCTAGCCCTTCACTGGCACCAAGTGCCTTCCAAGCTCAGCCTCATCCTCCATCCACTGGCTGCTCCAGCTGCAGCCCAGGCCTGTGTCGTGCCCTGTGCCATGCTTAAGGCTGTGGTGATAACTGAGGACACACAGCCGTCCTGGCCTGTACATTCTCCTGTAGCTGCCCCATGCACTGGCCACTGTTGTCCTTTGAGAATGATTCTGCCCTGAATCCAGATCACAGCCTTCCTCAGTTTTTCATACCCAAATCCATCCAGGGGATGGTACTTACTGAAGACCCTCCATACCTACATTTGTGACCACCGAGAGATATTGTGAAGCAGAGTCTAAGATGTCTTACTTCCCAGTGGAAATTCTTTTTAACTTCCCTCCAA